GCTATTTGTCTGGTTAACCCCTTTCCACCATTGGCAAGTAGTCCTCTATAGGGGTGGACTGGTTCCGGGCCGGGCCTGACCGGGCTTTTTATTGGGGAAGTGAGGCCTGGAACCGGCCCGGGTAGCTAGCGGTTCCAGGCCAGGGCGGTTCAATGTTAATTTTTTTCTTTTTGCTTTTCTAATTAACCCCCGACTCCCCACCCCTTCACCCCCATCCCCACCCCAAAACACCCAGCCCAACCCGGGTAAACAAAATTGAAAAGAATAAAAAAAATAGGCCTGGACCAGGCCCGGTCGGTTCCTATTTTAGCAGGGCCGAGCCCGCCTCAACTAGTCATGGACCCGGTTCGGGCCGCCCGGGACCGGCCCGGCCCGCCACTGTGCGGGCCCGGAACCGGCCCGGTTCTCGGGTCCGGGTCCAGGTCGGGCCTAGGCCCGGTGGGGGGCGGGTCCGGGCTCGGGCCTTGTATTTGGCGAACCGGCCCGACCGGGTCGGGCCCGGGCCGAATTGATTGTTTTTTATTTTTTTTTTCATCTTTTGGGGTTAGCCGAGTTGGGCTTGATGGTTAGGAGGGGTTTGGGGGTTTGGGGGGGTGGGGGGTGAGGGGGGGGCGTTAGGAAAGCAAAAAAAAAAAAAAAAATGACCGAACCGGAGGCCCGGCCCGGCCCGGAGACCCGGACCGGACCCGGTGGCTACCCGGGCCGGTTCCGGGCCTTCCTTCCCAAAAAAAAAAGCCCGACCGGGCCCATCCCGGAACCGTCCCGGCCCGGGTCCATGACAAGCCTCAAGTAACCAACGGTTCGGGACACCCGGACCGGTCCTATGACAGGGTACCAGGCCGAGCTGGGTACAAACGGTACCGGTTCGGGCCGGACTACGAGCCGGTTGGCCCGGAACCGGTCCATCCCTAGTCCTCTATCACATTTTACTTTTTTACGACGTGTTTACTTTGTTGCTAAATTCAGAGTTAGGTTAGTAAGACAAGTAAAGTAAACACGCGGACTCCTTAAAAAGTTGCTTACTAACCAAAGACATGTTTACTTCACTGCTAAAGTCAGAGTTAGGTTAGTAAAAGAAGTGAAGTAATCACGCAAACTGCTTAAAAAGCTTCTTACTAACCGAAACAAATGCTTAAAGTGTCGTTTACTAAACATATCACCATATGTATTAGTTAAGCGACACTTTAAATTTTTTCAGTTTCCGAATTTATCCTTGCCCCTTACTGTTACGGCGTTACCCCTTATTATTACCCCTACCCCACCCCTATCCCCCTACCTCTACCCACGCCTACCCCACCCTTACCTGCTACTCTACCTTACTCAGACCCACCCCGATCCGTCCCTAGGGGTAGGGTATAGGGGGTAAGGCCGTTGTAGGGTAAAGGTAGACAAGGGTTAGGGTTACAGTGGGGTAGGAGTAGTAGGGTTGGAATCAGGGGTAGGGGGTAAGGGTTAAAGCGGGATACAGGCAGGGGTAAGGGTTAGAGGGTTAGAGCAAGATATGGGTAAGGTGGGTACGCGTTACGGGGTGACCCTCACGTTTATATTATATACTTTTGTGCATGAATATTTGTGTGTCTATATATATAGGGTTATTTTGGACATTTTAATGTTAAATGGTGTTTTAACGCAAGTCTTAATAAGCACTATTTACTATTTAGTTCTTTGAAGTAAATGTGTCGTTAGTCTACCTCTATCTCTTTCCGAGTTTCCGTATATACTGATTATTAAGGATGTTTTTACTTGGACTGTAATTTGTCCCAGACCAGACCAGTCCAGACCAGACCAGAGACTAGACCAGACCAGACTTGGATATTTATAAAAATACAAAGAAACCAGACCTTACCAGACCAGACCAGACCAATTCAGACCAGACCAGACCAGCAAATTACATCCTAAGTAAAAACATCCTAAGTATGTACCACCTCCGTCTTAGTTTAAGTCTACCACATTAGAGGGTCTGGTTTGTAACGGTGAATAGGTTTTTTTCTCCCATTATGCTTACATATATATACAATTATACATGCTTTTCATCCGTATGCATTTGATTTTAGAAATGACAAATAGGATGTAGGGCCACTTTTAACCATATCCTTTTAATTTACGCAGTATAATTACTCCAAGTTATTGGGGGTGTTTGACAATTGGCGGTTGGCTGTTAGCAGTTGACTGATTGATGATTGCGGATTCTGTTGACTATTTTAATTAGTTGATAGTATTAGTTGTTTGGTTAAATGGCTGTTTATAATTGGCTCATAACTTGTTAAATGACTTTTAAGGACACCAAAGATTTTTTTTATGGGAAAAGGGTCAGATAGGCCCTCGAACTTACATAAAAAGTTCAAATCACGCCTTTTATAGTAGGTTATGTCCGGCCGTCGCCATTTGGGACGATTCCCGGTAGAATTTTTTGATGAATTTTTTTGAGCATCTTATTCATTAAGTCTAGTTTACTCATACCAAATTTCAGCTAAAACTTTAATCGGGAAGGCAATCAAATGAATTTTTAAAGATAACTGCGCAGTTAAACAACGCAGTATATTTCAGAAAATCATTTGCCTCCCTTACCGATTGAATTTTTAGCTCAAATTTGATATGAGTAAACTAGACTTAATGAAGAAGATGTTTAAAAAATTTATCAAAAAATTCCACTGTGAACCGCCCCAAATGGCGACGGCCGGACAAAATCTCTTATAAAAGAGGTGATTTGAACTTTTTATGTAACTTCGAGGGTCTATCCGACCCTTTTCCCTTTTTTTATTTACTACTACCTTACGATCCATTTTGTTCCTAATTTGGGGTTCTTACGCCTTAGCTTAAAGTGGATCAGAATATTCAATCGCAATTGGTGTCCTAATTTTAGGAGCTCTTTGAGTTTCTTGAAAGCGAAGACGATTTGGGCTCAGCTTGTTTTTTATTTATTTACTTCATACTTATTTTGTTTCAAATTGGATGTGTTTCTCTGTTTTGATAATGATTTGAGAAATTGATCCTTTGTTTGCTGTTAGTGATAAATTAAAGGACGCCTTTGAATTTTATTATTTGAACTCCTCTTGATAGATGAAAACGGACTCATAGATGGAGCTATGTTTTCTATCTACACAAATAAATAGTAGAGCTAAAAAAGGATGCTCCTTGGTGCGATGGTATCCATGAAATACTTGCAACTTTGCAAGTGTTCTTTCCAGAGGAAGATGTTGCAGGGATCGAGCAAGAGGAGAAGGCAGCATTGGGTAAAATAGGAAAATCCGTTACATTCTTAAACGGCCAATCCCTAAACGCTGCCTTTAATGACGTTTTTCATTTTGGCTGATTAGGACAAAAAGCCAAGTAAAAAAGTCAATTAACCGAACACCCTTATTAGTTGATTGTAGGGGTGGACTCGGGCCGGGTGGCCCGACCCGGAACTGGCCCGAACCGGCACTGTTCCGGCCCGGCCCGGTGGCCCGGTCAGTGACCGGTCCGGGCAGGCCCGACCCGCTGGGGGTCCAATCCGGACTCGGGCCCCCCAAATCATGAACCGGCCCGGCCCCAAATCATGAACCGGCCCGGCCCCAAATCATGAACCGGGCGGGCCTTTTTAATTTTTTTTTTTAATTTTTTTTTTTTTACTTTTCGGGTTGGGCTGGGTATTTTGGGCCATTTGGGGTGGTTTGGGGGTGAGGGGGAGGGTTGGGGGTTAACTAGGAAAAGAAAAAAAAATTATAGCTAAGGCCCGGCCCGGAACCGGGGGTTACCCGGGCCGGTTCCGGGCCCCCCATTCCTGAACCAGAGGCCCGACCGGGCCTAGGCCCGGCCCGGGCCCGAACCGGCTCGAGTCCACCCCTAGTTGATTGATCTGGTCAAAAGGCTAAAAATGATCAAAACAGCCAAAAATGGCTGATAGACTCTTAACCAAACACCCTCATTTAGGTCTGGACTCAGGCCGCCCAGAACCGGCCCGGGATCGGCACTGTGCTGAACCGGCCCGGCCCGGCCCGGCCCGGTGGCCCGGCCAGTGGCCGGTCCGGGTAGGCCCGACCCGGGGGGTTCCTGGTGCGGGCTCGGGTCACCCAAAAGCCGAACCGGCCTGGCCGGTTCGGGCCCGGTTCCACAGGTTAAAACTCCATTAGCCGGTGTACTTATGATATTAAAATATTGGAGGTTATGTTCACCCTCTGAATAAGAGGTGAACAAAATTGAACACCCTCCAATTCCCTAAAAAAAGAGCGGTTGGTGGAGGACCGAGGACTACAATCCCCCCACACCCCACACACACACCACAAAGCTACAAGTCTTAAGGCTGGTTTGCAACCACTTTAAAAAAAGCACTTCTCAGCTTTTGGCTTAAAAAAGCACTTATTTACCAAACACTGCCAATTTTTTATTTTTCTCGGCTTTCGTGTCAAAAGTGCTTTTCCACTTTTTATACACCAAAAGTACTTATTTTACCAAACACTACCAACTTTTACTTTTCAAAATCACTTTTTTCTCAAACACTATCAACTTTTACAAATAATCACTTTTTCCAAATCACTCCAAAAGTGCTTTTTTTAAAGCAGAAGCTGTTGCAAACACTCCCTTACAACTCTCAGGAGCCTCGGCTATTAGGGAAAAATGTTCAAATGAGTGAATAGGAACCAGACCGGCGGCACCAATCACAAGTCCGAACAAAAAAGGTCCTAATCCAGACCTGTGAACCAATCAGTTCCAGTCCTGACCAGGATCGTAGACCATGGACTCCTACTATCATGGTATCCCTAAAAAAGAGAAACACTGTAATGACCCATGCCCTCGTTGCCACTGCCAGTGAAGATCTAAATCCTCCATCTGATCCAGTGTTGCGGTTTCTTTCTAAAAACTACTAGTAATTCCTAAATTGCCTCCTCCAATGACAAAGAAAGTGCCACCGAGCACTTCACCAAACCCTACGATGAGAACTCTCATCTAGGCACATCCACGGCCGAATTTGACTAAGTTAACAAAGCATAAACGGTGAAAGTGGAACTAACAACATCCCTGAAAATGATATCATATTTGCAGCTCCTAGTAGAGACACATGGATCCTAAAATAATCTTTTGAAAAAAAAACATCACAACTAAGAATATTCAAACAAAATATCTATGAAAACAAAGACATGTTATTCTAATGCTGTAAATAAATGTAATGCTTCATTATGTAAAGCTTTTTCAATACCTGAATGTTCACACCTTCCATTTATATTTCCCTAACTGAAAAACACATAAAAATACACAACACACACACACACAGCTTGTATACATTACATCAGCAGTCAGCACCTTTCAAAGCTTTATTTCTGATACATTGCACTTGGCACCATGGATTATCCAGGCTGCATCTCTTCCATTTTGTCACTTGGACTTTTTTTTGTCTGGAACCCTTAGGTAGGACTTGTGTTCAGAGCTTAGAAGAGCTAAGAAGCTATACAGCTAAGAGTTTCTGAATATCCTTCTGTGAAAGAAGAAAATAACAAGTCAAGAACATCAAATAGAAAAACAATTTCAGAGTAAAAAGGGTACTTAGAGAGCAAAAAACAAGTGGGTGGTATTCCTGATTCTTGAATCCTGACATCCACTGTCATAAAAGAAATGTGATGAGTTCATACACATTCATCTATCCCTTATTCTAGTTCTTTATGAATTATGATAATAGTTGTAGGAGCTTTGTTGCCTAAGTGAAGAGATTCCAGTTACAAACATCAATGAGTCGAGTAGACTCAACAACAACAACAACAACAACAACAACAACAACAACAACAACAACAACAACAACAACAACAACAACAACAACAGAGCATCAATCCCAAATCAATGGGGTCAGTCAATGAGGGGCTTCATATTCTGTTCTATTATGGTTGAGGGGAAGGGAGTGGAGGGAATAAATAAAGGCAAAACGGGTGTGCTCTCAAAGGTAGTTGGTTTCCAACAAGCCCCACAACAAACATGTAAAGCACTAATTTTGCAAATAACAAATCATGATTTGTGAAGGCACAAAGTGTCCAAGTAAAACAATCCAAAAGGGCAAACTGAATTGGCAACTTGGTAGATATTTTCAACTACAACAACACTACTCTTTACATCCTTTTTCACCCTATGCCACTTTCAAAGGCATGTTCTCTAATTAAATACTCTATCCGCCCCTTAAAACTTTGCCAACTTTCCTTTTTTTGGTTGTCCCATTGACTTTGCCACTTTCCGTTTTAAGTACAGAATTTGTGGTTTCAACTTTCAATTAATCTTCTCTCCTCTGCACAAACCTCAACCACACAATTTTTACTTTATTAATTTATGTGCCGGTCAAACTTGGCCAAGTGTTAAGGGAAGGAAGGAGTAGCAGTTTTTTGGTTACTTATATTTCAACACATTGGTAAGAAATGAGCGCAACACTCCAGTCCTAAGACTATGGGAAAATACTTCCCTATCTAGAAATTTCCAGCAACATTAACATAAGCACCATGGTTTATCAGAGGGTCGCTAAGAGTTAAAACAAGTAAATCTGTCATGAGTCACTCCAAAAATCAATGACTTGTTTCCCAACTGCAGACTACAAATAAACTCTAAAGTGAAAGGTTAGGACCCTCAAGGGGTTCCACAGTTGAGGTGGAGAAAAGCTCTCATGGAGAGATTAAAAGACTATTACGGTTAACTGTCACATAGCAGATGTTTATAATATTTTTGTTTACTACTCTCATTGCCTCTGGGGCTACTTATTTATGTTGAACTCAAAGAGTTTTTTTATCAATATTGAAAACTCTGGTATTAGAACAGAAAGGTCCATTAGACTGTGAGACATTTTGTGAATAAGATGATAGAAAGCTGGGGAAAGTTGATTGGCAACAAAAATTGCTGAAAAAATGGAGCTTTGTATATCGATGGTGGGGATGAGCCCAGGTATATAATTTTCGGGATGCCCCAAAACTAGGGGTGGGCAAAAATACCGATCCGACATGATACCGAACCGGACCGGTATGGTACCAGACCGATAAACGGGGTTTGAAACGGATCTCAAATTTTTTTGTCCCGAACCGGACCGAACCGGTTCCAAACAATGCCATGACCGGTTCTCATAAAATGAGAACCGGTACCGGACCGAACCGGACCGAAGTATGATATGGTTTATTAAATTTGTACTACTATAGTTTATCTAAAATATATTAATTACTTCATCCGTCCCAAATTGATTTGCAAAGCCAACATTTTTTTTGTCAAAGTTAATGTTAAGTTCTTGATAATTAATACAATTTTTAATAATTAAAATTTACATATTTAGAAACCACATTAAAATCTCTCTAAAGTTGCAAAATCCAAATTAAAATATACGAAGTACAGAGTAGTTTTTTTGAAAGGCCAAATTAGAATATAATTAAAAAGTGAAATTCTAATTAAGTGAATAAAAAGAAATTGTTTGACCGAAAAAAGATTGACTTTGCAAATCAATTTGGAACGAAGGTAGTATGATATATGAAAATTGATAAATTGTGTGGATTTTTAGAGGATGGCTAAACTTTAATTTTTTCTTAAACAGTTGGAAAAGGTGGCATTGTTTGGTATTGGTATGACATGGTACCGTCCCGTTTGAAAATGGACCGTACCGAACGGGTTTGGGTCTAAGACCGAACCGTACCGAACCGTTTCAATAGTAACGGTACGGGTACGGGTTCGGCCAAATATTGGACCGGACCGGACCGTGCCCACCCCTACCCAAAACATTAGGAGCTGCGTTAGGTTTAGTTTAATTGTGGTTTGTTTGTTTTTTTGGCACCCACGATTCGGGTTAGCCTCACTATTAGTCAGTTTGAACAGTACATTAACCCTCAAATTATCCAATCCAGTTTGGGCTGAAGAGACATGTTAAGTGGGTAATATAATTCCCTTCTCCTCTGCACAAATCTCGACCACAAATCCACAAAATTTATTTTTTGTTTCATGTGCTACTCATACTTGGCCAAGTTTAGCTAAAAAAGGGAATATACAATTACGAGGTAATGAGGTAAACCTCACCCCTTAAAGATACTTCTAGGGACGAGTTAGGTCTATTATCATAATTACTAAATTGAATTAAACCATACATAGTTACATTACTTGGAGACCAAGAGGGGTCCTATCACGCAGGAATGAAAGCTCCATCATGTTTTGGAAACAAAATTCAATCATTTAAGAAACATTGATCAGAATTAGCATCCACAATGACACTTGAGATAGCCATTACACATAGTTTGCATCAAAAAGTTTCCTTCAGTGCCTTGACTAAATGAGTTGTAAGCAATTACCTCTATTTGAAAAGGAGAAGTTGTTGGTGCATATCTTTCCACTACTTTACCATTTTTGTCTACAAGAAACTTCTCAAAGTTCCATTTGATCAGACCACCCAGGAATCCTCCAGCATTTGCTTTCAGAAATTGGTAAACTGGGGCTGTGTTTGACCCATTCACATCAACCTGTTATCATGAACTTATTTATACACTAAATATTCTATTAACATGGCATATTCAAAAATCTCAATAAAACCAACCTTGTCAAAAATTGGAAATTCAGCTTTAAACCTGGTGCAAGCAAACTGCTTTATTTCCTCATTGGATCCTGGTTCTTGCCCACCAAACTGGTTACAAGGAAAAGCAAGAATTTCGAATCCTGTAGAAATGGAATCAAACTAGTATTAACACAACCAGATGTTTGGAAATGAGGATATCTGGAAAACTCCCTAGAGGATGCAAGAATTAGGATTATCTAAGTTTTGATCATGTGTGACCGGCCAAACAAAAATATATGATGTTTTGATAATATAATCTTCCCATAAATAGAAATATCACATAATGCCTCCTTCCTGAAAACAAGTTCCCAGTACTACCCACTTTCCTTGTTTGGATGTCACAAAATGAATTTCTCATTTCATAAAGTAGTGGTATTATTAGAGACTCAAAATAAAACCTTATCTTGCAAAATATGTGTGGAGGTCATACCATAAACAGGTTTGCAAGACAGAGGAAGAATATGCTTTTAAAAATTTGAAAGAAAAGAAAAAAATAACACTGTGTTATAGTTAGCGTATGTTGTCCTAGAGTACCTATGTTTGAATCAGTGTTGTAAAATCTTGCCAAGGCACAATCAGTCCCTGGCCTGGGATTAGACTAAGGCATCGAACTAGATTAGCTAATTGGATGGGTGATTGGGTGTGCTTTGACCCTATTGCTTCATGACCCAGCACAATCCTAAATTCTAGAGTCTCAATATGAAACCAAAGATCAAAGAAAAGAAATACCCCTCATTCCACCAATCCTTCTTATCATACATCGTGAAATAAATGTCAAATTGGTGGGGAACAAGAAAACAGTATATCAAGTTACACTTAAAAAGAAGCATCTCACCTTGAGATTTGTACTTTTCATATAGATGAGATAGTTCGGAGTAGTTAGAATTTGTTAAACCACTGAAATGAAAGAAAAACAAAAACAAAAATGCAAGTCAAATAAGTAGCCAAGGTGGAAAGCAAAATTTCAGTAAGGAGGATTGTGTAATCCTTATATTTATTTACACATTATGTTCACTAATAACCACATATGCAGAGAGAGAGAGAGAACCATTTTGAAGCAACATTTACAATCAAGAGAACCTTTCCCTTATATTTACTTAGTGAAACGCCTTTCCCATCACTGTCCTGCATTGAACAATAAGAACATGCTACAGTGATATACCAATTGGTTATACATATCTATTTAATCATGATTACGAAGTAGCTATTATTATATCAAATTATCAACCAATCATAAGTAGTGATACATCACTGGGATATAAAAGTTACAAAGTGAGATAAAAGATTTCAATTCCTATTTAACAGGAGTACAGGACTACCAAAAAGGTATATAAGAAAGGAATTTAAACATCGTTTTTAAGAGAGGTCTAAACACGGAGATTATAATCTTCCTTTCAAGCGTGAACCTTTTCACATGTAATCCAAACAACACAAATACAAATAAATAAAGACGCAAGAGCGTGCCACTTTCCAGAAGATATTTTGATGAAAACAAAACTAATATAATTCCATAGTTATAAGTAAAGCATAAATAGGTAGGATACCTTGACGGTAAAATCATGTACGGATTTCTCAGTGGCAGCTCTGGAGCATATATTTGCGGAGAATTTGGACTTAAAAAGAGGCGCAGAGAATACGGAGGATTGGAGAAAAGGCGCGTTACGGAAAAAGGACGATTTTGAAGAAAGAAACGCAACTGAAGGAGGGAAACTGGAGACTGAGTTGAGCTTGGCAGATGTGAAGGAGCCAAAGGTCATGGGTGCTGAGAAAACTGCAGAGAAAGCCATCGCTGACGTCATGGAGGAGGAGGATTGACTGATTTCCAGAGCAAGGAGGAGGAGACTTTAACGCAAAGGAACGGAATATAACGGATTGACGAACCGGATCCACGCGTTCGCTTCGTCCGCCCTTCGATTTCGATCGGTTATCCTCAATCCACATTCGTTTGTCCAAAGAATGAATCCCCAACCCAGGGCCTCATGACCCTACACGACCAGACACGACAGATCATACTACGTATGAAAAGTTGCAAATTAGGGTGACTCAACCAAACCAATCATAACGTTTGCAGACATTATATCTGTGTGCACCAGAGACCCAGCTCAGCACATAGGAGTTAGTGACCTTCACGCGTTCGCTGTGAGTTTCGATTATTGGTCATTTGTTCAACTTTCTCACTGCCTTACTAGTTGAGCTACCCGTGCGGGGTATCTAAATCCACATTCGTGTTTGGGGTGAATGACGAAAAATGACAGGTTTACTATTTTTAATGTTTTCAATAAATGAAAAAATTGTTTGATAAGTATCTATTCTGCATTAGTGTTTTTGAACAGAAACAATGAAATGGAAACGCTGCAAGCCTGCAAATAGGAGAGTGTTGGGTCAACTAATTTTATGGCCAAATCGCTAATTATCAAACGTCTTCTGACAACCCGACAACTTATTCCGCTAGTCAAACATGTTGACTGAATCCGCTATTGACTCGCTAACATAATCCGATACCCGCTAACCGTTAAATGTCAAACATGTTGACTGAATCCGCTATTGACTCGCTAACAAAATCCGATACCCGCTAACCGTTAAATGTCAAACACATGATTTACACATCCACTATCCTCCTCCATATAATATTAGTTGTAACATTGTAATTTGTACATATGTACTCTGTTTTGACTACATTTTATTTATTAGGGTATGTGATTTTTCTTTGACAAATAATGTTGAATTCACCTCATTAATAAGTTTCATAATCTAATTTTTAAATTCTTTACTACTACAAAATTAAATATAATGATGATCACAGTTGTGTGTTGGCATACGTGAAAAGGCGAATGTTGCAACTAAAAAAGAACGGAGGAAGTATTACATCTGTTTCGTCCCATTTTATGTCTTATACGAAGTACTTTGATTCAACATAATTATTAATAAAATTATCGAAAAAGTAAAAATTATAGTTGAGATTCGATTATAATAAAGTGAAATGTTGTATATCACATATTTCTTTTTTAAAAAGAAAAATGTAACACTTATTTTCGAACAACCAAAAAGAAAAGTAGAACAAATAAAATGAGACGGAGGAAGTAAACCATACTATACACGAATTTTTCAAAAGTAGGATCATATATTCATATGTTTAGTATTCTTTAAATAGGACAAAACTTCCATTTATATCCTTAATTTAATTAATTATTATAATTAATTAACTCTCTAGTTCTCTTGCATAACCAAGGTAAGTTCGCCGGTGGCGGATTAGTCTGGTGACGGCGGCATCAAACTCCATCAGCAGCGTAGAACTCTGAAAGCGATGACATTCTAGCAGATCCGCGACGGTGAGCTAGACAAAAATCCAGTTATTGATGACCAGCGGTCCAATGGCATGGACCGATCACCATCAGCAAACAGCCAGACAATCTAGGGGCAGCATTGCCTCGACCTTGTGATGATATATTGATATTTATGTCCAAATAAAAATAAAAAGTTTTGTTTATGTAATTTGAAACATTGGGTCCTATTTTAAGAAAAATAGCATTGTTTTTATCCTATTTGGATAAATATTCCTTTGTATATTAGGTGTTGAGTTAGGAGTCAAAAGCGTTCACAGTGAATGTTTTGATTCTTAATTCCTTACATTGGGGCTTCTGAAGCAATAAATAGATAACAATGGCTCAAAACAGGAGGAAAATGTAGAGTTCTAAAATATGATCAAATATGCTTGCTTTCTAAAATGTAATGTATTTCACCAGGAATTTAGACAAGAAAGTGCATGGGTCACATCAGCATGAGTTGTTTTTGACATTGTTTGAATTAGGAAAATCATGCGACGACCCATACTGAAATCTAATAGTTAAAAGGATACATTTTTATTTTCCTCTATTTTAACTTTTTGTCAAAAAAAAAAAAGTTAAAGACAACTTAACCAAATTTTAAATTTTTACATTAAAATTTTCACTTTTAGGTTATGTAATTATTTAGAAAAAATCAAGTAAATATTACTTTTAACAATTTAAATAGTGTTTTATGAATTTGATATGTAAACATTATGTAGACTACTTTTGTTCAAGATGCTAGAATGTATAAAAATCTGCATCAACAAAGTTCATTTACTGATTTCATAATTCATATTGGCAGAGATTATATTTAAATTTATCGATAGTGCAAGAATGTCAATAATCTAATAGCAATTCACATGAGAGACTGAGAGAGTGTTTGAAATATTAAACTAAAATTATATTCAAATACAGAATGAGCATCTTTTATATTCAAATAAGGATTACATTAAATGAAAAATGAAAAGAAAAAGTATTATTTTGATGAAATGAGCATTTTGTTTTTTTCAAAATGAGCAAATAGAGAGCATTTTTAATTAAATGTATCTTTCTCTTTTTCTGCATGCAATAATGATTTTAGATCATTTGGACATAGAAGTACTAATGGAAATGCTTTTGGTACCACGGTACCACCCATGTTGAAGTGTAGTTGTGTCTTTTTGTCTAATTTTTCTTTTGCTTTGATGAGTTGATCTTTTCTATTTTAAAAAATAATTATTATTATGGTTATGGTTTCTTCATTAAGTTAGATTCAAGGCCTCGTTGTATACTTTAATACTTGTATGAAGTGTGTGTACTGTGTTGGTTTGCAAGGTACATACATTTCTGATGTATTATTGGCAATTTGGCTACAAATTTATTTGATTAAATTAGTTTATGAAAATGTATTTCCATTTTAAAAATACTTGGTCCAACACAAAAATGAGTGTATGCATAATTAAAGTTTCAAACCACAACTAAAACAACCATTTTCCCAAACCGTTTGCAACAACGTTGGTATTTTAGAGATTGAAAAAAATCTAAAATACCATATGCTTCAAGACAGGGCTACGGAAATACTATAAATATAGAAGCTGAGTAGATCAATTCAAATTCTTTCTAACCAAAACTTAAGCAGCATGAAAGATGCATGCTAAGATCAAGCACTAACTCTTTCTACTCGCACTTTATAGATTTATAAATATGGCGAACGAAGAGGAGGGCAGCCCGAAAACCGACAGTTCCGAGCATAAGAAAGAAGCCATAACAAATGCAAGCCATGTAACCGAAGAAAAAAGACGTTTGCATAAAACCAGACATATCTGATCTTGCATGGAAATAGTACAAGCAATAGGCATAGATAAAGATTCCAGTTGAGCCACCACATAGAAATGACCTATATTTGATTCATAATGTAACAAACGAATTATTAGCACCATAAAAGAATTCAAGCTTTTGCACTAGAAAAAGATTGTCATGCTTATTTTTAATTAAGCTAAATATGATGTAATAAAAGTTAGAAGTTATGCACAACTTTATCCAGAGATAATTTTCAAAACAAAACTAATACTAAACTTATTTTTTTGTAATAATATAAGCTTTCTTATATGCTTTATGAATTGGAAAATCCAATGTTGTAGCACTTCTTGCATGTCTATAGAAACAAGATATCATGCTTATTGAAAACTGGAGAAAAATTAAAAGTTGTACTTCGTACTATATATAATAATGACTATTTTTGATCTAGGTTATAAAATTAGTGTTTGGATGCTTAGTATAATTTTTTTTAAATAACGAGTGTCCACATATACATACCTCCACCACCATTCATGATCTTCTGCAGCTAACTGGAAGTAGGTCAAAGCAATTGTGATAAATGCCGTAACGATGAGAAGAATGATGAAGACAATAAACAAGATGCTATAAATGGTGTAGATCTTATGGCCCCATACACTAGCGAATATGTAATATAGTTCAATATATATAGCACTGAATGGCAAAAAGCCAGCCATTGCCATCTGGGGGACAACCGATCTGTACCAAGGAAGCTTCGGAATTTCTCTCGGATATTTAGTAGTACGACAGGGAGCTTGAAACCCTGTTTTGCTATTCTTTCCTGCAATTCCCCCCAAAACGAGTAATGGAGATGTCACTAGCGCCCATATCAAGATTATAACGACAATTGTGCCAAACGGGAGAGCTGCAGTTGAGGTGTATCCAATTGCAATAGAATTGAGGAAGCAGAATGTGATGACCAGAGGGCCACAAAAAAGGCACCCAGTGAACAACAAATTTCTCACCTGTTTGTTAAGCCAAGATTCATCATTTACAAGCAATTCTAATAAGATTTATTGTTCTATCCTAAAAAATCAATTTGATTAGGGAGTAGCACAAAGGCTTTATGCAAGTTTGTATCTTTATAGTTTATACTTGAGCGGTGTAATATAGGAAACATCTTCTCTAAGAAATGATAGCTCATTTGAGTTAATCAATCTTGTATTATTTTTCAAGTCTTGGATCAGTTTCCTAGTTTGAAAAACTTTGAATGTAATGAGCTATTTGAGAACATCTTAAATACTAGGACTTATGACATGTTTATTTGGGAAAACTCAGAATTTCCCACTTCGTGAAGTTAAGATATGCATTTAAGTATTAAAGGTAATGAGAGCAGACGAGTATAATTCTCCAATATGGTGATTCTTCCACCATATAAAAGAATAGTAGGATTACAAGGATGCGTTTACAAAATTGATTCACTCTACATGGCTTACTCAAGCTTGGAGATTCCCAAGGTACAAATAGGCTCTCTCACTATCTACTTTCTCACTCTAAAAAGTGATTCCTATCTTGGATTGGATGGATAAGACTGAAGTCTCTTACCCCTATTTATACTACTCCACCTTGACAATGAGTGATGGGGATTATTTGTATCCAAAGGGTGAAGATTGATTCTCTATAATACTTAACACACTCTAGGAGTTTCTATACTCTTCTACTTCCATATCCTTCCATATGGTTCCAGACATATCTAGAATATTCCGAAAGGGTTCCAAACTCTTCTACAAGCTTCTATGGAGTTCTATACTTCTCTAGAGTTCTCCAGAACATTCTAGAAAATTTTACACTATTTTATAAAGCTCTAGAAGTTTCTAGATACTCTCCAATTAAAGAGAGACCCCAACAAAATAAAGTAATATGGTCTGAACTGGACTGATCTGAACTAATGTATTTAAATCTAATAAACTAGGTCTGGCGATGGGCTGATATTTTGTGTATTTTAAACAATTTAAAGTTGGTCCAGTCTGATTTGAACTGGAATTGTCCTGATCTAGCATTTTTAATTTTATTGCAGTATGATCTGATTTGCTCTAATCTAAACTAACTGGAGTGCGACATAAATGGTCCTTAGA